AGCGCATGCATTAATGTATTAGTTAAAATCCCCAGTATGAATTTTGTGATATTTGAAATTTTTCCAAAAATTTGAGTGCTATTTCTTTTGTATTTTGAATTCATTTATTAAGTTTAATATGCTTTTTTTTTGAAAAAGCTATTCCAGTGTACTATTTTGAACAACTAACGTTCTTGATTATCTGATATAGTATATTAAGCTGTAAAGGACGATATTTATTTACCAACTGCAGACACACTGTGTTGTATTTTTACCGACCGCATTGCATACAACAAGAGTAGTTATGGGACGGCAAAAATTTTGCATATCGAGTTTTCTGTGGGAACGCACTTTTCCGTGGTAGGGAAGTGTAAATAAACTATTTTTAGCAACCTGTCGGTCTGGGTGTACACGCACATATCTCAAGTTCGACTGAACCGATTTTGATGAAATTGTATATGTAAGTTTATTTCGACTATGGCACGGATTAAACAACTTTTGGACTTAACTAAATGGAAATTTCTTCATGCAACTGCAGAACAGATGGATGACGTCATCAAAGGAACGAGTTAAAGGCAGAAAAATTAATTAAAAAATTTTTCTCCTCGAACTGGACTCGAACCAGTGACCTACCGCTTTCCAGGCGGACGCTCTACCAACTGAGCTACAGAGGCATGAAGATATTGCTACATTACTTAATACTGTAATCCACATGATTATTAAGTATTTGTTTACATTGACTGTTACATACAATCTACTATCGAAACACACAATAACAAGAACATATATATTTATAGGTATTGTGCCTATTACACTAATTATATTATGAAATTTCCATTAAGTATTATTAGTGTAATAAGCACATTACTTATTAATTTCGCAACTATGATGTTGTATTAGCAAAAATTCGTAATACAACTTTTGGACCTTTTAACGGGCCTGTTTTACATTTTTAATCATTTCGAAGAAGATGTTCAACAGACTTGCTTATCTCCATTCGATCGTACGCGCAACCTCCTATCTTTTGGAAGAAATCTGGCCAGCAACGGGTATCTGGTTTGGCGAAATCAACCAATTTTATTGAAATTTAATACTTAAATTCGGGGTATTAAAACAATTAACCTATAAATTTTTTGGAAAGATCAGTGCTCGGAAACTGATCTGGGAGCCGATTTCACATTTTTACCATATCTACGTAACGAATGGATGGAATTTCTTGATATTTAATATTTGGGCTGTGGTTGTTAGCAGAAGTTACTGACCAACTTTTCGTATAATTCGTGCGGTGCAAAATGAAACTCTATTAAGAGCCAAATTCACATTTTTCCCGGTATGTTAGCTAAAAGCTTATTAGTGTCATAAAAGGCATTTTCATAATCTTCTGGAATACTTTTACTAATCTTGACAATATACTCGTACATTACGGTCGGTTATGTATTGATCACATCAGATTTTTTTTTATGCAGTGCGATTTTATTTTGTATTTTGTTTTGGTAACGCGAATGTTTTTATTATATTTTGATTGTGAAATTAAGAAAAACTTTAAATGCAATTTAAACTTCATTTTCAAAGTAGTAAGATTAATTTGTTGTCATGTATTCCCCGAAAATCGTATACCTTTGCCTTCATTAGGAAGTGGTGCGGCACTATTGCCAATTTTTTTCCTACTAAAGTATACTTCCCTCATAAGTGACATTTTGTTTTGTATTTTTAAAAATATACACAAAAGTTATCTTCATACGCTGAATATCGTTATTCCTAGAAAAGTCACTAGATTGTTTATAAATTATTTCAACTGTTTAATTTTAAATAAAAAAGGATAATATGCATATATGCATTATGTCATAAACTCCTATAATGTATGTAAAGATGCCTGTGATTACGTATACATAACATGAACATACAATTCCTGTATTATATGAATAATTCGAATACTCTGTTTATTTTAAAGGCCGCGTTTCACCATTTTAATTGTTTTTTTGTTTTATTATACCCTTTATTGATTATTGTATGCATAGTATTAAGTATATATTTTCAAAAAATAAAATTATGTTTAACATGTTTTGTTTTCTTTATTTTTCTTTATATAAACTAAAAGTATTTTTCTTTATTTAATAATCAAAGCGTGTTTCACTTACGTTTCTTTTACTATATATATGATAAAAGTTTACAAAAAGCAAAGTACAATATTAATGATAAAACTTTTTTAATCACACACATACCACTTAAAAAAATGAAAAAATGAAAAAATTAGGTTGATGATAAAATGTAATAAATAAAAATAATACATGTGAATTTACGAAATAATTATTTTAATTACGAAATCTGAACAAATATGATTGAAATTAGTACATGCATATTATGTTTAATAGGATATGTATGCGAGATTTTTTTTAATTTTAGAAAAAGATACCAAATACCTAAATGTTAAGATATATTTTATCTTAACTTTTACTTAGAAGTAACAGTGAAATATTAAATCAGCTATTAGAAAGGAAGTAATTAAAAGAAATTCTTCCATGAACTTTTTCTTACATATATTCTGGAATTTTTGATGTTTCTAATTAAATATAAAAAATATAGGTTAGGTATAGGTTTTCAGGTTACAACTTTATTTTTATGCAGGTAAATGTGTACATACCTGAAATCCGCAATAAATGTCTTTTTTTTTAGCAACCTAAGTCTTTTCCATAATATTTTCTAAAGTAGTTTTGAGATTAATGGTTATAAGAAAAGGGACTTGTGAATGAAATTTCTTTGTTTACTGCCTAACTAGACAATAGTTTTCATTATATAGTCAAAAGAAATGTAACAAAAATACGATTTGATTATTTATTTATTTGTTTATTCAAAATAACGTAAAAAGCTACAAGATTTAGATTCTTTTAATCATATACATACCTTAATGTGGTGCAGCAATATTAAATGTGCTATGTTAATATATTACATAGCTTAATATGGTGTATTATCTACTAAATCAAAATGAGAACAGATATAGTTGACCGTGTTAACTCTGTGATATTCGTACAAATAAATGGTTTTACATATCGGAGATAATTAACATACATTTTCATGCAACCTTTTGTTTGTTATATGGCTAGCGCTATTTTATACATACATATATGGTAGTTGCCATATAAACCTAAACAACTGGGGATTTTAACAGAAAATGATGGCTCCATCACAAAATTCCTTTGCTCACAATTTCAGGTTTGCACCCTCAATAGTTTTTGGGATATGAACAAACAGCTTAAACCGCCTTAACAAATACGCTGGAAAATTTTTGAGATATGGCTGAATAACTTTTGGAGTTGTATGACAGCTGTCATAAGGGCTCATGAATATAGCTGCCATTTTACGATAGCAAAATATCTATATGTTGACCAATTTTTAAGATATAGTCAAATAATTTTTCAAATTGTATTGCAGCTACCAGAAGGAGCCAAGCAATTTCAATGACTTTTATAAAACACAATATCCCTAATAATACATTCACTTGAGCAAAAGTTCGATACCATAGTCTGTATAATTTCTGAGATGTAGCCAAATTATTTTGAAGTTATACGACAGCTACATGAACCATTGCCTTGATCATGTCCAATTTAAATAGGGTTTCGGAATTTACTAGTGTTATTCATTTGTAAAAATATGGTGAACTTAGCTCATTTAGTTTTTGAGTCGCTTGGACTTATTATTATTATTTTCATTACTACTGTTATAGCTGTTATTATTATTACAATTATAATGATTCTTACTGTTATTATCAAGTTTTTTTTTACATATTTGCAATTTTTCCTTTTTTGTTTTGTACACTTTTTTTACTTTTGAGTCCTTTTAGTTACTTTAATATATTCTCGCTTATTTTAATACTCGTATGCATGTACAAGAGTACATATTATGTACGTTATAATTGCTGTTCGCATTGCTGCAATAAGGCAGGTTCTGTCGTCGAATTTTCGGTGGAAACGGAATTCTTGATGGTAAGGAAACTTATAAATAAAATACTTTTAGAAAGAAGTGACTATGTGACGGATTGATCAACTTTTGGGTAATGTCAGGCCGCGGAAACTGTACCTTTTTTCGGGTCGATTTTGAATTTTTGATCATTTTTAAAAAATTCTTCAACTGATTAACTTGAAATTTTACATATAAGCTTCGTCTAACAGAACGAGAAACCAACTAATTTTTGAAAGAAATCAGGAGCCAGTAAACGATTATTATTACGAGCTAAATTAACTTTTTTATGCATACAAAGGGAAATAACCAGCCAATCTCTGTGAAACTTAATATTTGAATCCAGGTTATTACAAAAGTTAGCTTATAAGTTTGGAAATATCAGGATTCGGGAACTGAACTTTCAGCATATCTAAGAAATTTATTAACGAAATTTAATGTTTGAATTCTGTTTTCTAAAGGAAACAACTGACGAAACAAACTTTTCAAGTTTTCATAAAGTGAACTTTCACATTTTTGGTTAACATAGCTAGAAAGCATTTTTCTAGCTATGTTAACCAAAAGCTTACTAACATTTAAAAGAAGTGTTTATAAAACATTTTCATAATCAAAAATAAATAATGCACCTAGCGGGCGGCTATGTGCTGATTACACCAATTTTTTTTCAGAAATTCTCATACTCTGACAACAAAAAAGAATGGAGATTGCTCTAATTGTCTTGAAAGGTTAAATAGTGTCATTCTCTGTATAGATGTCGAATCAAAATTCATAAATGCGATAGAAATCTCACACTCAGAAGAAGTTTACTTTTAGGTTTTGTAAGATTATTTTTACAAGCATTTACTGCGATTTAAGACTTTATTGAATAAAATAATTTAGGTTTTGTAAGATTATTTTTACAAGCATTTACTGCGATTTAAGACTTTATTGAATAAAATATTTTAAACGCAGTACTCGTTATTTTTGTACTTGTTTAATTACTACGAAAAACAAAAAATTTAATAAAATCCACAAAAACTTAGATTTTCATATTTAATTGTTTTTTTTTATATCATTTAATCTTTAAGGTACCAGAACGTGTACGAGCAATGAATGCAAGTATTAAACTTCTGTTAATAGTTCGAGAACCTGTTACAAGAGCTATATCCGATTATACGCAGCTGCGAAGTCATGCGACAACAGCATCTGTTCCACTAGCGGAAATACCTATTAGACAACAAATGCAACAACAGGAACATACCGTATTATCATCATTATCATTTCAATACTCACCAACAAACAACGATTTAGGTGACATAGATATAAGCAGCAATAACGTAAATGGAAATATACATAATGGTAGCGATACTAATGACAATAGTGGTAGTAGCAGTAATGGAAACAGCAATAGCATACGAAATAATTACATTCCTGTTACAAGTTACACGGCAAATGGATTCAACGGTGGTACCTACATATCCATACCCAGTTCAACCACATCATCTTCAACATCAACATCAGGTATATCAAAGTATGTATCATTTAATTTAATATTGACATTCTTCAAAGGTAGTACTGATAAACTATTTTGATTATTAGAACATTTGAAGAGTTAGCTATATTTCCAAATGGTACAGTAAATGAATCGTATCGGCCGTTAACTATATCAATGTACCATTTACATCTACACAGATGGCTAGAAGTCTTCCCTAGAGAACAGCTGTTGGTTGTCAATGGTGATTTATTGATTGACGATCCAGTATCACAACTTAAACGAATTGAATCATTTTTAGGCAAGTATTTTTTATTTTGCAATTTATTTTCAAATGCCAGACTATAATAAATTTTTCATTTTATGCATATAGTACTCGTACTTTTTTTAAAAGAATTTGAAAAAGAAAGAATGTACATAATATACAAAGAAATTATATTTTTTCTTGAATGAAGACTTATAATGTTCTGAAAGCATTTAATTTTAGTCACTCTTGAAATAGAGTTAATGCATTGTTATGTTAATATGTATTTATTTTTGTTCTAACATGACTCTTGTCCCATAGACGTTGTTTTAAAAAGACTCTTATACTTATATCAAATAGGTTTTATTAATTTTAAAGTTTTTGTTTTAAATTTGAAATTTTTTTTAGGTATCGAACATCGGATTAGCAGTAAGAATTTTTATTTTAATGAAACAAAAGGATTTTATTGTTTACGTTATGATAGTGGCGATAGATGTTTGCGTGAAACCAAAGGACGAAAGCATCCTCATGTCAATCCTTTAATAGTCTCGAAATTAAGAAAATTTTTTGCTGAATACAATCAAAAGTTTTATGAGTTAGTAGGTGAAGATTTAGGATGGCCAGAAGAATAGGAACTAATATAGTAATAATAAAACATTGACATATACTCTACATATCAATTTATATAATATTATATATAAGTATTTATCCCACATGTATACTTAATATGTGTGTAGATATAAAAAAATGCGAAACTGGTGATATTATACTATTACACTTATTAAAAAAAGTTACATTAGAAAATATTGCGTCGGCATGTATAGTTATGTAGATAAATATACATACACATATATTTCTAATATAATATAATATGTATTATTATTCAATTTCTTTTACACTTTTAATTGAAATTAAATTAAAAAAAATATATAAAGAAATTTGAATGCAAATCAACATAAGTATGTAAAAAATAAGATGAATTTAAAAAAATCGTATACCGTCGTTATGCTATGTTATATATTGTAAAAAATAACTGTAAGCTAAAAACTGAATGGTAATTATTATAATATAAAAAAAACAACAAAATTAAATCCGAAATATAAATAATGATGAATGAGGAGTAGAAAATATGAAACGTAGGTGCGTTAATATAAAATTATAATTTTTTATCTTTCATATTCATAAATGTCAAACTGCATGTGTCATTGTGTGTATGTAATATAATATACATAGGTCAGCGTACTAATATGTTTTAATACGTAATCATATTGTTAATTTAACTAATTATGATACAATACAAAAAAAATTGAAAGTAGGTAAAAAAATTAATAAACAGATAGAGGTAAAAATTTTATTTATTATACAAATTTGGTTTACGTAAGAAGATGCATATATACTTATATTATACGTTTTGAAATACAATTTAATATGTATTTATAATTCAAGAACAATTTATTAATTACGTTATGAATAAAGTATATGGACATTTTACATTATTTTTTTTGCTTTATTATTGAAATAAAGAAAAATTATTAAATGCTTTAAATTTTAAATGATTCAAACTTTAGTTCCTTTACATAATTATGTATATTTTCCACTTAGCATGCTTTATATAATTCTAAGTTTACTTAAATAGCATAACGTCTTTTAATGTACTTTTATCTGGACTCTTTAGCTTTAATAATGTTTTGAGGAATTATTTATTGTTTCATTTAAATTATATGAAGTGTGATATTGAAATCTCATTTAGTAAAAACATAATAATTAATATGCTACTGAATACATTTTGAAAATTATGTATTATCTATGAAATATAATTTTGAATGTATATTTAACTTATATTTGAATTAGAAAATTGAAAGTTGAAAAGTGTGAAAAATAGATTTATAATTTACAAATAATATTCACATTTTATATTCACATAATAAAAAAAAATATCCTCTAAAATTAACACAAAATAATAAAAGTCAATTTTACGAATTTAACGCAAATTTATGGTAAATTCGAAAATCTTGCACATTAATATATACACATATAAATATATAGCATACTCATATACATGTATACTGTAGTTCCTAAAACGTTTATTCAAAACCATTAGTGTTACTTAAAGTATACAAACATTCATTTTAAATTTCATTATTATTTTTATTTTCTATATAAATTTAATTATTCATTCTTAATTCAAAACAAATTTAATTTTTTTTATCTTTAATTTATTGTTTGATGTACTTTTAATTAATGTAACACTATACACTTTTAGTTTACATATATTTTTTCTTTTTTAACCCTTTAAAATATTTTTTAAATAACTTTTTGTGTCGCTCAATATCATTGGGTTTAATTGGGATAGTTAACTACATTAATACAAATTCTACTTTTGTGGATTTGTATACATATAATATATATATACATACATATATATATATATATATATATATATATATATATATATATATATGCATATACATAAATACAATATTATTATGTGTTATATATTTAATATTGAATCGGTGTCTTGAGGTTTCAATAAGCGAATTCGTCCAGTAATATTCTATATCCACATTCATACTGAAAAAAGATTTTTATACAATTGAAGCTTAATAATATTTGCTTAAAATTAATAAATTTTTTTTAACCAAATAATTTTAATTTCAAATATTGCAAGAAATTTATTTTGATATCATTATACATAATATCCTAACATGTTGTAATTATTATATGTGTTATAATTAATCAAAAGAAACTTAACGAATTATTTAAGTGCAAAAGTTTTTTCTTGTTCCTATATATATATATATATATATATATATATGTATATTATTTCATTCAAATCCAAATAACAAATAACGACAATCTTATTACTTTAACACATATCAATTATACATACATTTATACAAAGTAAAAAAGAAATACAGAATATTTACATGTACGTACCTGCATTTTATTTATATACAACATACTTATACAAAAATTGTTTTTCACTCAAATATGTTTATTAAATAGAAATTTGAAAATAAATAACGTAATTACTAAATTGCTCTTTATTAATTAAATTACAAAAAACATTTTTTTCTTTTTTTTTCATATACATAGGTAGCATTTTCCAACTTTTCTACTTTGTTTTTTGGTAGTAGAACTAAAATACCAAAATGTGAAATACTGTTAAAAAATACCTATTTAAAAAACTGTGTTAGTAATTATTTAAGTGGATTAAAATATGATACAGTCACTTCATATAGTTACTTGTGAAAACGTTTTTGTTGTATATTTATATGTAAAAATATATACATATTTATGTTATACGTATAAATTTGAATGTTTCGTACATATTGTATAATTTTTGCAAATTTCAAATAGAATATTTCATATCAATTAAAATAAATACTCTCCTGATTATATTTATTTCCATTGTTTACGTAATTTCGGTAATTAATTATGCAATTAACTACATTTGTGTACTAGCAAATGTTTAATATTTGAAAATCATTTTTAGGTAAAGGTAAACTATATTCGATAAATTTTTATTGAAAAAAAAATTGGGTACATTACATATTGTGCTAATTTTAAATCCTTATTCAAAAGAAATAAATAATCCATAAAGTTTAATAAATTTTACCAGAACATTATGATAAATCTAACATTTTTTTTTAATTGAATTGAATTTTTAATTTTTTGTCTAATCTATTCTATTGAGTATGATATTGCAATAAAAAAAAAAATTATAGTTATCATTAAATTCTCTATGATTTTATTAAACTTACGAATTTGAGCTGAATTTTCTTTTTTCATGTTAAAGATAATAAACAGAAATTTTATGAACTCTTTTTTAATATTGTGTATTAGAATTTAACAGTATTTCATTGCAATATGTTTTATTGTTATAATTTTTAAAATATCCTGGTTAAGTTACATTTCAAAGAAACAAAAAAAAAAACAAATTAACAACTTTATAGTCTGAATTAAATAAAATGATAACAAATCATAAAATCGAATACATATCAAATAAAATAAAAATAATTAACTTTATCAAATAAGCAATAAATATATGTACATATACAAAATTTCCAACAGGCAATTTACTTAAAATAAAAATTAATTACATGCATCTTATGATATGTGTGCACATTTTAGAATATACATATACAGCAAAACCAAAATTATTAACAAAAAAGAAAAGAAAGCATATCGAAAAGTATCAATTCTTAATTAATTTTTAAAATAAATTATATAACATAAAGATAAAAAAAGCAAAAAACCGGAACGGAACATATCAATATTTAATAATATAGTTTATTTAAATAATTATTTTAAGCATATAAATATATTATACATATATATGTAATAACTTAGTAAATTACAGAAAAATTAAATTAAAAAAATTCGTTTTGAAATCGTTAGATTATAAGTAATGAAATGAATGTGATTTTTAATATTAAAGGTAAAAAAAATAATAAAAAGCAAAAAAAAAACTGTAGAAAATTTAAAACACATAATAATACTTTACTTAAAAGTAGTACTAAAATTAATTAACTAAAAATCTCACTAACAACTAAGTTTTAGAAAATAAATCCTTTTCGTCTTTTAAATTGATTATTTATAACCAAAAAAATCATTAACTAAGAAAATAAAACAAAACTACTACGATTTACACTATAGTATTGAGAATGCGATAAAAATTTTATCAATAGTTAATAGAAATTTAAAAAGCTGTAGTGATGTCTGTTTCAAAATCATGTCAAATGTCTTTAATATTTAATGAAAATTGTTTGTTTTAAAAATATTTTTTGGAAATTGGTTTTGGAAATAGACTTCAACCCATTTCTGCAAAATTGCAATTATTCAAAATACATATACATATCAAAAAAATAAAATAAAACATATCGTTTTTGCATATTAACAAAAAAAATTATAATACAAATAAATATACAAAATATTACACTTATTTATTAATAATATTTCATAAACAAAAATATATAATACAAATAGGTCAAAAAATAGTGATTTTTTTTTAAGTATATAATAATATTATCAAAGTAAATTTAAATAAATTTTGTGAAAAATTGTTATTTATAATTGAAATAATAACATATCAGTAATTTTAAATGAATATTAGAAAAAAGGATTATAAATTATTTTAATTTTACAAAATTTTAGTAATTTGAGTATTTCTCATACTAAGTTTCATTGAAATCGAAATAAGATTTCTATTCAAATAACATGTTATAGTAAGTGCATTCTTTTTCTGAGAGCATTTTTCTCTTAACACATATATTAAACATTAATGGTTTTAAGTTTTACTTTTATAAAATGTTACGAAATTATTAAAAATATTAAATGAATTTATAAGTTAAAATTTTATTAAAATGATTTTTGGTTTGATTAATTTTATTATCAAAACAAAAAAAGTTGTTAAAATTTCATATTTTTCTAAAATTTTGTTAAATTATTGTTATTTTAATGTACTCCAAACTAAATTTATAGGAGCAGATTAAAATTTTTAGATGCATTAGTATTAAATAAACTATTAATATATTTTGTTTCTATCGATTTGTAATTCTCATCTTAAAACAATGATTTATATTTTTAAAATCGTTTTGACTATTTCATTTCAAAATAAAAGATAGAGTTGTGTTAACTATGTGATACTCCAACAAACGTTTTATAGACAAGGGTTTTGAAACGTTTTCTGTTAACATTTTATGAACTTTGTTCAAAATTTTTGATCAACCCATGCCACACCTAAAATAAAATCACTCAAATAGTTTATTTGTGCTTCCCAACCATGGAGTAGTGCTTAATATGGAAAATTTAGTACCACCACATAACCTACCTTATAGTATGCAATGCGGTCAGTAAAAATGTATTTTATGCCCATAAAATATATTATGTAAGCATTATCTAACAGATTAAGAACATTTAGCTCAATATTCAATATTAACGGAATAAGATTATTGTATTTTTATTTTAAGACTATTCGATTTTGGTTATACATATCTAATGTATTACATAATATGTTCAATTGTATTATAAACTCAAGTGTTTTGTCTAAATAAGGTATTTTTGCCTAAACAAAACCGGGATATTTACAGAACAATAATTCATCAACTTTACAAGATAATGTTAATTCTTTACATGTATGTTTATCTTATATTAAAATATTTTTTATTCGATTAAAATATATTAAACCTCCTACACGCACAAATCAACAGTATTTTTGAGAACCATATAATACAAGAATATATAAACTTACAAAAATTATTTTTATATGCATATAAACATATGCATAACATATTTTAACTGCTTACATGAATTTAGTTTGAAGTTCATTTGTAAAAATTCTCAAATTTTACGTACATACGAGTATGTATATCTATTAGTTTAAGAAAGCCTTAATTTATTAATCAAAATACAAACTATTTAAGATTTTTCATTTGTATTAAAAATATTGAAAAAGAAATTTTTTTAATAAATAAAAAAAAGTTCATATTGAATATATTTAAGCTGTAAAATTTAACCAAAAAATTA